AATAATAGTGTTTTTTCTCCACTCCTCTCTTTGCCCCCTTTATCCCCCTCTCTCTGAATGTTGGTTGTATTAACATAGTTCTCTTCTTCCCGCCCACCATTTCCGAGATAGTGTCTCATTCTCCAGTTAGTCCAGGCTTACTTGGAACTCATGGTAATCCTCTATCCCAGGCCTCTGAGTTACTTGGATTACAGGTGTGAACACTTGTCCTCTTCAAGCCCTGATATGTTTGTTATTTAGTCAACATGAATAACTTAGTGCCTTTGTTTGATGTTTTTGAATTATTAATATGATCCAGATCATTTTTGACAATGCACCATTAAACATTAAGAAATATACTTAAATTTTTTTCATTAGAAAAAGAGCTTACTTCTGTGTTGAGGATTTGTAAAATGCATCCTTTATATTATATTTCTTGTCTGGCTGGACAAGTGATTCACTGTTATCCTGCAAGATAGGAACAAGAAGTTAAAACAGACCAAGCATGAATAGAATTGCTATATTTTCATATACACAATGTTTTCTAGATTTCCTTATTCTTCAAGATGTACATGATGACTTGAAGTATGTGCATGTATACATGGTTTAAAGATTTACAAACAAATTCCTTAACACATTCATCTCCATCAAAAATTACACTTGGAGTTGTTGAAAACATCTAAAATCTGTTTTTCTCTTGAAATCCCAGCAAACAGTACTGGATTGTTAGCTATAGATACCATGATATACATCCTATCTCCTGAACATAATCATCCTTGTTTATATCTTGAAATTGTATTCTCTTATCAACATCTCTCCATTTTTTTTCTATACTTACCCCAATGCCTACTCTACTCTCTGCTTTTTTTATGGCTTTCTCAGATTCTGCACATAAATAAGAATATAAGTATTTGTTTATGTGAGTTGTTTATTTGTCTTAGCATAAGGTTCTAGAGGTTGTTCATGTTGTTGCAAACAACAGACCTAAATTTATGGCTGAAAAGTATTCCATTGTATGCACATATATCCAATTTTCTTTACCCATTCATCTGTAGATGGGCACTAGGTAGTCGATCATATTTCACTTTATAAATTTTCTTTACCTAGGCAGGGGCCACATGCCTGCAATTCCACCATTCAGGCAATGGAGATGGGAGAATCAAGAATAAAAGGCCAGACTCAGAGACATAGCAAATTTGAGAATACCCAGGGCTAAATGATATCTGTCTCAAAAAACCCAATAAATTTAATTAAAATGAAAATAATTATCCTGTGTATAAATTCTGCATTTCATTATTTTCTAACTTTATATGCTTTAATCTTGCATCTATTTTGTTTGATTTGGTCATTTTTTTCTAATGAAACTTAACAATTCCCCCCCCCCTTTTTTTAAAAAAAAATCTATTTATGTAAGGCTAAATTTTCTTCTTAGCAAAATCTTAATTGCATGATACCCATTGTTTAGTTTCTTATAAGGCACATCTATTGGGAATTTATTTTCTTCCTTTTTCTTTGATCAAAAACTTTATTTAGCGTCTCAATACATTCAAAATATTTGGGCCCTCAAATATACCCATGTTCTAAACTTGGAAAAGGGTAATTTACTTTGCAGATGGAATTAAATTGCTTATCAAATGATCATTGAATGAGAAAAATTATCCCGGACATCTTTATGGTACAATATAATCATAATTGTTATGAAGTTGGGAGACTGAGGCAGAAGATTACATCAGCCATTCTTTGTGATGAAAGGATTCAGTCCATCCGTGCTAGGTTTGAAGATGAAGACAGATGCCATAAGCCAAAGAATGCAGGAAGGTTATGCAAGCTGAAAATGCAAGAAATGGGTTCTTTTCTAGTAACTTTAGAAGGAGCACAACCTCACCAGCACATTGATTTTTAGATTAATGTTAGCCACTCTTTACTTCTGACCTCTGGATGGTAAGGTAATTTATTTCTAAGCTAGATGTTGATGATAATTTGATGCAGCAACAACAGAAGATGAATGTAGTCTTCATCTTTAAATGACTAAAATATTTTGGGATAAACTCATTGTATTTTTGTCTTCCAGTTTCTGATGAAAAATTAAAATATTCTAATTTAATTTTCTTTATCTTATTTCAAGTTTTTAAAAAAATCTTTGGTGTTAGCAATTTGAAAATGAAAAATATTTTCATTCTCTATGAAAAGCCCTTTATCCTGGCTAGAATTCAGTAAGTCTTTTGAACTACAAATGTATGTCTTTTGTTAAAGTTAATGAAATTTCAGAAATTATTTCTTCCAAGATTTTTTCTACTTTTCCCCTCTTTTCTTAAAATTTTGGGCTCTAATAAGTATGTTTGGGGTTTTTTCAAATGTCCTCACAGTATATGATATTTTCTGTTCATTTTTAGTTTTATTCACCCTTCTTTAAATATGCTCCCCATTTGTTTTCAAAATGTCAGTACTTTCCTGGTCATATTCTGTTATTAAGCTCATGAATCTTTAAGATATTGAAGCTTTTAGTTATGTAATTTACATTTTTTTAATTCACTCTTTTTCTGCACTAAGATTTCCAGTATTTTCTTTTTTATGAGAATATTTTCCACTATGTCATTGGTATGGATAATTTTGATACACCTGAGAAGAGAGAACCTCAATAAAGGAATTGATTTCATCAGAATTGCCTGTGGGCATGTCTCGAGGGCATTTTCTTAATTGCTAAATGATGTAGTAGGACCCAATCCACGGTAGGTGTGTGTTTCTGAGCAGGCAGGCCTGGGTTGTATAAGGAATGCAGTTGAGCAAGCCAGGGAAGTGAGCAGTGTTCTTCCATGTTCTCAGCTTCAGTTTCTGCCTCAGGGTTTCTGCTTGTGATTCTTCTTTCAGTGAGGGACTGTGGTGCAGAAGTGTAAGCCAAATAAACACTTTCATGCCCCAAGTTGCTTTCAGTTTGTGCTTACTATGGTAAAAGTTTATTTACCAAATGAGAACAACCACTGAACATAAAATGTTTCATTAATATCTCTACCAAGTTTTAGCATTAGAGTCTCTCTTCTCTTGACAGTGTGCCAAATTTCATGGCCTTTTTATGTTGCACAATTATGGACATTATAAATGTTATATTGTAGAGATATTGTACTCAGTAATATTCTGTATGAGTGTGATAATTGTCAAAAAATGGGATGTTGATTTGTTTTACTCTAATGCTAAATGCTCTGAGCTTGTTCTAAACAAAGCCTGAGCAAAGGCTGAATTGTTGTGCACAGAAATAATTGTAGCTCCTGCCCCCTCTCATGTGTGTTCCATTTCTTTCTGGATCCATGACCATTCAATGATCCATTCTTACATATTTAAAACACAAAGAAGTTCTTTCTGCAAAAGTTTTGACTACTTCTGATTTCTGAAAGCATTCCACCTTCAAGACAAAGACCCAATAGGAAATTAAGGCTGGTCTTATCTTTTCCTCTAAGTTTTTTTTTTTTTTTTTGGTTTTTCGAGACAGGGTTTCTCTGTGTAGCTTTGCGCCTTTCCTGACACTCACTTGGTAGTCCAGGCTGGCCTCACAGAGATCCGCCTACCTCTGCCTCCCAAGTGCTGGGATTAAAGGCGTGCGCCACCACCGCCCGGCTCCTCTAAGTTTTAACTCCCTTTTGAAACATGCATGACACTGTTCAGTCACCAGAGGGTGTCAAGTAAATGGGCATGTATTCTGTCAGGGTTTATAGCTATAATTTGTGTGAGTATTAATCTGTTATACACTTATTCTGTCACACAGGAAGCAAAAAAATTAATAATTTTTGATAAATAAAAATTTAATTTACAGAGTTACATTTGATTCCCTGTCATATGTACCTATTTGTTTTCCTTAGAAATTCAGTTACTTACTTTCTTTCTGTATTCCAGATTGCTCTGTAACTGTAGATTGCTTGTGCAAGGCACACTTTCCTCTGTGTCTGCTAATGTCCCTTTGTGTTTGGTACTTTTCATTACATTATAGTTTTGAGCATAAATAAGTTTGTGGAATTTGTCTTCTGTCCTTTCCCCTTTGTGTATCTTTTTTTCTATGAATTACTAAGAATGGTTTCCAATTATAGCTGTAGATCTATCCTGATGCTCTCTCAGTCTGGCCTTAATGTATTTTGAGTTCTGTTATTAGGTACATATGTATTGTATGTGCTATCACTTTATCAATATAGAATATGAATTTTCAATGAAATTTCTTATTCCATCTACTTGGATGGTATCTTAGTTCCTTCTGCTGCTTTTGATGTTTTCTTGTGTGTCATATATGTGTTAACATTCTTAGCATAAATTTACATTTCACTTAGTTTTTTATTGTTAGCATATAGTTGGTCTTATTTTCAACATAACTTCTGAATTTTAATTAAATTAAATTAAGCCATGTTTTACATGATAATCAACACTATTTAGTTTAAATCTGTTTTCATTATCTATTTCATCTGCTCTCTTTTCTTTTGATATAATGGTTATTTCTTTGTTAAGTTTTATTTTGTTCACTATAACCATAATACCTGTGTCTCTTATCATAACTGCTCTCCTCAATTCTATACACTCAAATCCCTGCTTATTCATTACTTTCTTCTCTTTAGTGGCTGTTCTCCATGTAGGCTGGCAATATTTTCAGCACTGTTTTTCTAAAGATATCTTTACTTTGGCTTTATTTTTAAAATCTTATGTTGTGGTGGTGGTTTGAATAAAATGGCCCCATAGGTCCATAGGAATGGCATTATTAGGAGTTGTGGCCTTGTTGGAGTAGGCGTGGCCTTGGAGGAAATGTGTCACCCAGGGTGAGCTTTGATGTCTCAGATGCTCAAGCCTGGACAGAGTGTCTCAGTCTCTTCTGGCTGCCTGAAGATCCAGACATAGAACTCTTAGTTCCTCCTCCAGCACCATGTCTGCCTGCATTCCACCATGCTTCTATGATGCAATGGACTAAACCTTTGAACTGTAAGCCAGTCCCAATTAAATGCTTTCCTTTATGAGTTGCCATGGTCATGATGTCTCTTCACAGCAATAAAAACCTTAACTAAGACAGAAGTTGGTACCAGAAGCAAGTTATTGCTGCGATAGGCCTGACCATGCTTTTGTTTGGAGGAATGTGGACTTTGGATTAGAAAAGTAGTTGAACAGTTGAAGTGAGGCTTAATGGGCCATACTAGTGGAGCATTGAAGAAAGTGGTGTGGAGGCTGCCTCAAGATGTTTCAGAGGAGAAGAATTTTAGTATGTGGCCATCAACTGCCAACAGTCCCAAGAAAGGGGTGGGGCCCTAAGAGTTCTTCCTTTGCAATGCTGGAATTATTTACTTGCTTGATCTCTTGCAGTCTTGTGTAGGTAACCAGAACTGCTATGAGTCAATGTGTGCAATGGCATCTCATGCCCAGAGAATAGCATCTCATAGCATTCTCTCCATTCTCTGGCTCTTACATCCTCTCCTGTCCACTGCTTCTGAGCCTTGGTGGAGGTAGGCTGTGACAGATGTCTCATCTAAGGTTAAGCACTCACGGTCACTATTCTCAGTACTTCGAACAGTAAAGACTCTCTGTATTAATCCCTACCCACTCCTATAAGAAGCTTCTCTGACAAAGGCTGAATTTCACACAAATCTGACAGCACAAGGAAATTAGTTCCCAGAGTAGTAGGATCTCAAATTAGTTTCGTAAAGAACCCAGTTGTAACATGGATAATCTTATGTTTGTTTTCTATATCCTTAATTTATTTTTCATTTCCTTTACTTTGTTCAAAAATTGATTTTCCCTCACTTTCTAATTTCCTGAGATGTACCTTGTTTATTTCTTGAATTGACAGGTTTTCTTATGATCTAACATATACTTTAAAGACAGGTCCTGTCTTCCAGGGTTTATTGCAGTTGCCAGCTATACATTTGACTACAACATTTTGATTTTCATTCTAAACACTTTTTAGCTTCTTTTGTGGTTGTGAATTCTTTGAATGATGGTTCATTCCATAAACACATCTTCCTGTTTCTAAATACATGATTTGGAAGGGTGTTTTTTCTCTTATAATTGTTCTATGCTCATAGACTATCCATTTTATGAGTCAAAATGTAATTTGTAGAGACTTGTTTTATGACATTGTCTATAGTAATTTGTATAAATACTCCTGGAAAAAGGTATATGTGTGCATTATTTTTCATAGTTTTATATACCATTTTCCATAATGATTAAAATATTATATGTGAGTTTTTGTTCCTAGTAGGGTAAGCAGGTGTTTTATATCCATGCATTCAGGCAATCTGTCTTTTAACTGTAGAATTAAAATTTTAGGTAGAAAATAATTGCTGATTCTGAGTTTGAAACAACGACCTCATGTGTTCTCCATGATCTACACGCCTTTGTTATAGTCTTTTTATTTTAACATTGTTTGGATTGATTTTTCTGTTATTCAATGAATTCTGTTGTTTGTCTATTTTTTTTTACTGTTTAATCTACAAATTGCAATGTGAACACATATTTTTGAGGATTAAATATAACTAGTGCTTTTATTCTTCCGTCAGGAAAGATGAAAAACACTTCCACACTTAACTTCTGACCCTCCTTCAGATTAATTATTCACTTATATTTTCAATCAATATATTTGTGTTTAAAACACCACAAGGTAGTTACTATTACTTGATAGACTCATTTATACTAACTGTGCTCTTAATATAGTTTACTCTTCATTCTTGCTTGTGTCTCTGATCACAGTGTTTCCTCCCTACTGACTAATGAATACTTTATATATATTTTCTTTAATTTTTGTCTGCTTTAGGATAGACTGTCTGAACTTGACTAAACTGTCTTCAATTATTAACATTTCTATAGTGCATTTCAGGGGACTAGAATTCTAACTGGCAGAGTGGTGAAGTAGTGGTAACTGTGTGACTTGGATTGTAGCAGTGATGGGATTCTAGCATTGCCTACTTTCTGTTATATACAGAAGGATCTGCTATGGCTTTGGAGAATGACTCTCTTGTTTTGGCCGATTCAAGGCTCCATCATTGCATTTTTTTGTTTGTTTTTTTCCCCTGGAGGCTATGGTATGGATGTCTTTTTATATGCACTGACTTTATTTTTATTCTTTAAATTACTGGATTGAGGGTTTCAACATTTAAAAAATGAATCTTGGGTCCGTGGAGATGGCAAGGTGGTTAAGAACAGGTGTTGCTTTTGCAGAGGACTGAAGTTGGTTCCTAACACTGACATCAACATATCATGGGGCTCACAATTGCTGGTAACTCCAACTCTAGGGAATCCTTTCCCCTGTTCTTGATTCCACAGGCACCTCCACACACATACATACAAATAAGATAAAAATCTTAGTACATGAATATTTATTTCAATCTTATTGTATACAAATGCTATCAATTCTATAAATGACTAAGTACCAAAATTCTAGCAAATTTTATTATTCATAAATTTTTGTTACTCTGAAATTTCCTTTTACAATACTGTCTTATCAAATTAATCATGAGTGTTCTAGAACTCACATTATGAGTTACTTTTCTCAAATAAATACCAGTGTATCATCTATGCCAATACTGCATGGCAAGATCATTGCTTTAGAAAAAGCACAGCTTTTCTTATGATACTTTCTTTGGGGGCAGTAAAACCAACTTTATTATACTGTAGGGATTATCAAATTGGAATTATATATATATATATATGTATATATATACATATATGACAAAGCATTAATCTTTTTGACAATACAAAATAATCACCCTATTTAAGACAATTTGATGTGTTTGAATGCTATTCCTGACACAAATATTTGTATCTCTTTAAGCTAATGTTTATTGTATGACTAAGATGTATCTATTTTATTTTCTGAAATATAAATATTTCCAAGATAACACTAGTTCTGACCCATAAATAGATAAATCTCAGAGAAAGCCCTTAGTTTAAATATGAAAATGGCTCATACCAGTTTTCTCTTCCTCCTACAATCAGAGTCTTCAAAGCCTGCCCTCTGTCTGTCTTTATTGCTCTTCACAAGGCAGACAATGACTTCGGCACATGTGCTTAGACTTTCTCTAGAGTACCCCAAGTTCATGTATCATCATATTCTGGGGGTCACATGTTCTTCTTCATCGTCATCTTGGTATGCCTTTGGTATTCTGGTAAACTTCCACTGGAATTTGGATTTTTTCCCTGACATATAATCTTCTTCTATATCCTGACTACAGACTTATAAGCTTTTACTTCTAAATGCTATGTGTCCTAGCTTCTTTGTGAAATGTTGTTAAGTCTGTGTCCTCAGATTTATTAACTACGTGGTTCTCTGAAATTATTCTCCTCATGGCATCTTCTGTGGGAGTCTTCTTTGTGTTCTTGGGTTGATCACCAGAGATCCTGACTTATAATTACTCATTTCTTTTAGGTACTTTTGACATCTCTATTGGAACTGAAGCAGAGCTATATTTATGTTTATCCTAACAAGATATTAGTAGCACCACAATAAAGTTCTTTAATGTCATCACAAGTATCTGCACTGCAAATATCTTACATTCTCTTAGAATGTCTTCATATTAAACAGGACAAGACAAAAGATGGCTACTGTTTTCCCGATTTTAGATAATGCAATCACTGCACATTGCATGGAACTGAACTTTCAGGACTTTGCTACTTTGCTCTCATGATCATCATGGAAACTTGTGCTGTTATCACTGTTAGGGCTGACACTGGCAGAGATGGTGCTCTTGTTATCACTTTTTCTCAGACTTTCTATTTAAGGTAGAGGAGAAATGTGAAAGGGTGCCCAAGAAAGCCCTAGAAAAACAGAGATAAACAATTGTGTCTTATATATTGCTTCTGTGTTAGTCTATCATCTGTTTCTGGGACTCCAATAAGCACATGTACTTTCTTTTCTGCTCCTGATTCTTCTCTATTTTTACCTTTTTGTACATTTGTGCTTCATGATATATAGTTCCCTCTGATTTATGTATTCATATTGAATTGTCTCTTTACCCATGTCTAATCTGCTGCCACACCACCAAAGAGCTGTGAATTGTGTTTCTCAGTTTGGAGCCACTCTTCCTTTTTTTTCTGTTCTTAGAGGTCTTTCATGTAGAATTTCATGAAAATTATGATCTCTGCTATGATCCAGAATTCAATAATTTCTCAGTTGCCACTTACACACACACACACACACACATGAATGTATGAAACAAGACATGTAATTATTGTTTTTGAGTCTGGTTTATTTTAATTAGCCTGATAACATAGGCTACACAAAATGGAAAGAATAATTAAATTATAACTCAGGGAGTGCAATGGAATGCTTTCCTTATGAAGCTAGGTAAGGGAAAGATATTATATTAACATCACATTGATAGATTTTCAAAGTCTTCAATCTGTGGGGGCCCCTTTTCATGGAATAGGAAACTAAGGTATATTATTGTGTGCACTACTGGGATATGGCAAGGATGGTCCCTATGTGAAAAGCAGTTCTCTCCAGCTGAAGCATTTTAAGGTTGCTCTTATGTTATTTACACATTTTGGTATTATATAAACTAATAAAAGGGTCTTACTTGTTTTAAAAGCTAAAGAGGGATACACTTTGTCAACAGTAGCTATTTTTTCCCTGGGGAAGAAAATACCAAACACAGAGATGCTGATATAAACAAGCTATATTATATAATACTGCCTATTAAGAAAATCTTACTGTACTTGTTGTCTTCTCATCAAAGGAAAGTATGAGACCTAATGAGCTTCTTTTGTTCTCATGAGCTGGTAAAGGAGTAACTTTCAGAGGGCTTGTCCAACCTGAAAACCAAAAATTCATGTATTTTTAGATAAAAAAACCCAGTGATAATTTTTTTCCATTAGACACTTTTAGTTCATGTACATTAAACTGTAACAAGGCTTCTGAACATTGTAGGTTTAGTTTGATGCTTCCCAAATTGCATAAAATGCATGCTAAGATTACAAATTAAAATGTGGGTCATAATTGTCAATGGTACTGGACTCAATTTAGTGCTCTGAACTAGTTGGTTATTTTTTCAGTTCCCCATGGGCTGTGTACTTCAAATGAAACAAAAAGTATGTATGCTGACCAAACTTTACAAACTTTAAATTGTGTTAGAGCAAAGATCTAGAGTCTAAGCATGTTACATGGAATTTGTGAACATTTGCATCTGTAGTAAAACCAATGTCCACTTTGGTCAGCAGCCATTGTAGCCACAGAAGGTACAAACCACAGCTTAGAGTGCAAGCCAGGCAGAATATTTGACCCAAGACCGTTTCTCTAGCCATAGTACACTTCATTAAACCTGAAGTAAAAATAGTGATTAATTTACTCCGCAGATAGGATATGTGGGTCCTTAGGTGAAATACTGTGCCTAAAAAATCTTGGAAGTAAACTTTCACATTCCTTTATAAAGCTTATTTGGCAATAAGCCATTGAAGTGTACTGGAGGCAAACCATTTTAACACCTGGCTGGTACCATTCGGCTTTTTTCTTTGCTCTGCTATGGATCCTCCTCATTTAAATGCCATGCAATAGACAACAGTGTTAGACAAAGCTTCTATGTAACCACTTCATGCAGTTTAGAGAAGAATACTCTAATTCATACATCCTTACTAGCCTTTCTTAGGTTAATTTGCTGTTGCTTAAACCTTGACTTCTTTGTCTTTAGTGGACTTCTGTTATTTTCCATGTTTTTTTTTCTTACAGCTTTGTCAATTGCACAGATATGTCTAAACATGTGTCTTAGGGTTTTGTTTGTTTGTTTGTTTTTTGAGACAGGGTTTCCCTATTTAGTTTTGGTTCCTGTCTTGGATCTTGCTCTGTAGACTGACCTCGAACTCACAGAGTTCTGCTTCCCAACTGCTAGGATTAAAAGGTGTGCACCACCTGGCATCGTCGTAGGGTTTTTATTGCTATGAAGAGACACCATGACCCACATCAACTCTTATAAGGAAAACATTTAATTGGGGTGGCTTGCTTACAGTTCCAGAGGTTCAGTCTATTATCCATCATGGCGGGGAGCATGGCAGCATGCAGGCAGACATGGTGCTGGCTCCATCTTGATAAGAAGGCAACAGGAAGTGAACTCAGACACTGGGCAGTATCTTGAGCATAGGAAAACTCAAAGCCTGCCCCCACAGTAACACACTTCCTCCAAAAAGGCCATGCCTACTCCATCAAAACCCCACCTTCTAATAGTGTCACTCCCTATGAGCTAATGGGGGCAATTACATTCAAACTACCACAACATTTATACTTGAAAATAAGTCTTCAAGGTTCATATTAGACACAAATCTAGATGTACTGTCTTGCTCATGAGCTTGAATTCAGATCTGGCCCTGTCAATTGGACAATGGCCATACCTGGAAGTACTTTCTGCCTCCAAATCCTCATTGATTTAGATAACTTCTGTAGATAAAACAGTGAAAGGTCTGAAGGCCCCCAACTTCAAATCTCTTTTCTACCTTCACTCTGGCCCTTTGTCTTATTCTCTCCTTTTTGGACTTGAGGTTTTGCCAGCTCAAACTTCTAAACCCAATTCCCTAAACTCTCTTTCAGTTGCCAATCTGGCTGAATCCCCCTCTATCCTCCGGCCCCCATCAAAAGCAGAACATACTGTGCTAGCAAATTTTTTCTAGGCCATTTAGGCTGACATCCTGCCCTTTGGATGGGATCTGGCCTTTCCACTCCTGACTCACATGTTTGTCCTGGGTGGGTCAGGCTGTCCTTTTGACTCTGTGACTGGGATAAAGAGAGCACACCAGCTCAGTCTTTACCCCATCCTGGAACTGGACTGGGGGTGTTCCTTAAGAAGTCACTCTTCTGCTGCTTTAAAGACAGCTCCTAGCTACTCTATCAGCTGCTTATGGACTCAGCTTCCTTGAGCTGCGACCATGAGATTCTTTCCCCCTTTTCTTTATTTAGATATTTGGGGCCAACTTGACGAGATCACAGGTACCATCCTCTCCTATATCCACACTAATCTATTTAACTAGTGTATTTTTAAAGAAAAAGGTATAACAATTCACATTTGATCTTCAAAATGGTGAATTCCACGGGGACTCATGCCACAATGGAGAATGGGCTCACTTTACCATGTGGCTGACTTCACTTCAGTAGAAAACAACAACCATGGTTTGCTGCCATCTTGGCTAGGGAGTTCATCAAGATGGAAGCAACCAAGTGTCTGGGCTTCCATCTTTGCTAATGATATCACAAAGGCAAATTTCACGTGACTTCACCACCATTTTGGTTGAACATCACATGACACAAACCAAAATGGTAGCACCCATACAACTTCACAGTCCCAGAGAATCCACTGGGAGTCACCACGCCCCTTTTATATTAGACTAAGGAGAAAACATCAAGCATCTAAAATGGTTATTTTATAATTTTAATGTTTTGGTTTGTTTTAATTTTGATGGTTTTACACAATACAGTTATTGGCTTCTGAGGCGAATCTAAATTGTTTCCTCACCACCTGCTTCCCATACTGGCATACTAACACAGGGAGCTAATGCTCTTGAGGTTCACAGGTCCCAACAGAGACTTGAGGATAAATGGCCAAGTACCAGACAAGCTACCACCAGTGAGGAGCCGCTGCAGCGGGCTCTGCCAGGTGGCACTGTCCGCTCTTTTTGTCTGATACCTTCAGGCCCGTGTTCCTCTAACTTTGATAAAACATTCCCCTCAACACTCCACTGACATGTGTCTGCTTTTTTTCTGTCTGATCTAACAATATCTTTTAAGTTTTCCTTTTACAATGAAAATCATAAAACCATAATCTCAACAAACAGTAATGTTCAAAATATTAAGTTTGTTGAAACATATTTCCTTTTATGTCCATATAAACTGCCCATATGTGATTGTGATATTTTTAACACCATGTATTAAGTAACAAATTGACTTATAAGTAAATGGTCCTATAAACTAAAGTTGTTACCTTGGCTCAACTTCATTTTGTTCACAGTAAAACTAAAATTAATCATAATAATGATTAATTGTTCTGAATCTTTTAAACAATTAAGGTGAGTTTTTTTAAATTTAAAAAAATGTTTAAATCTGCTTTTAATAATAAGACACATGGATAAGATATACATATAGTCCCACTTAAATGTTATCTCCTTGATCCAGCCTGATTTTTCCAGCCTCTTACCACCTCAGACTCTTTCTGAAATCCCGAATGGCAAGATTTTGCTCTTCTCAAATTTATCAACTCTCCTGGCATCTTTCCCATTCTGACGCAACTCACCCCTGCCAAATACTCACAGCCCTGTGAGACACAATATGAATCCTCCCCCCACAATATGGGACCCCCTATCTACTGACACCCACTTCCTTTCACTGGCTCACTTCTGTGCCTCCCACTTCTAATCCTTCTCCTCCACCTCCACCTTTTGGGCAATCTCTCAGTTTCACCCTGTAACCAAATCATCCATTTTCAGCCCTCTAACTTTGTAGAGGTTTCTCTAGGAGTGCACGAAGGAGATATCATGATGCATCATGGCTGATCAAGTTAAAACTCTCCTGTGCTACATAAAATCAACCCAATCTATGCTCCCGTAGAGCCCGGGGACAGAGCCGAGCCTCTTATCCACTGTTCTCCTTTCTGCAGTAAGTAGCCAATGAAAAAAAAAACACCCCTCTCTTCTTTTTATCTGTCCTGAGGGTTGATAATGAAGGGTAATTAACTAAAAGCTTCAGGTGGACTGAGAAACTTTGGTCAGGACAGTTGGACTTGGCTGATCAAACCTGTGCAAAATTCTGATAAGGAGGACCACATACCAACCCCGCTGGTATCTACCACTTCCAGACTTCAGGGGAACTTACCTTCAGATGGATTCTTCTATCTCTAATGCCCTCCCCACTTTGTCCTCTAAAGCCTCAACACCCACACACCACATGCACTCAAGCTCCCATTCTGCAGAGGGACCTACAGCCCTTCCCTTCGGCTGTTCTGATTAAAGCACAGGTCCGCTTCTGGAGAGGCCTGGCAGCTTTCTTTTAATTCTGCATCGCCTCCATCAATCCCCATCTAACATTATGTATGTTCAAATAGAATTCCTGTAACTTTCTCATTTAGTTTTAGTCTGTTTTTAGATTGAATCAAAAGAAATTATATACCAATTAATATATTAGCTAAGTTGTCCAACTCTTGACACGAAGGAATCAAGATAGTAAAATATTATTCATTTCCAAAATCCAACCAAATGAAAACCCCAATATTCCTCTACTAGAGAGCTACATTATATGGTATTAGGCATTTAGTAATGAATTATTTAATTAATTTCCTAGATCTTTGACAGAAATGGGTAAGGATGATCTCTGCAATACGAATTGCTGTGAAGACACAGTATTTCTGAGATTTATGTACTTAGCAAATCACAACAAGGGAGAGAACTGCTTGGATGTTTAATGTGAAAGAGCTGTTGAATACTAGGAATTTGTGTGTGTGTGTGTGTGTGTGTGTGTGTGTGTGTGTGTGTGTATATATATATATATGGAGAGAGAGAGAGAGAGAGAGAGAGAGTGTGTGTGTGTGTGTGTGTGTGTGTGTGTGTGTGTGTGTGTGTGTGTACATACTAGGGATGGTAGTTGCAAAAATAATTCTGGATGCTGTGTAGACAACCCATCTAATTACAGATTAGAAATCTTAAGACACTAGCTGTATAATATATTTAACAAAAATGTAGCCTTCTAAGTACTTGCTGTACTGGAATAGAAACGAATGGGCATATCAAAATAAAAAGCAGAGTTTGGTTCTGAGGTACTGATAAACAAGCAGAAACTTCATACACAGAAGCACTGAAACCACTATGTGGCAACTGCAATTATAATGGAGCCCAGAGTTCTGTGAGGTTGCAGAGAAGGGTTATCTAGTCCAACCAGATTGTCAGGAGTTAGGAACATCTTCCTGAAGATGACAACTGATCTAATCTTGAAAATTAAATAGGACTTAAATTTTTGAAAAAGGGGAAGTGGATGAAAAGCAGTTGTTCCAGGCAGGGAAATAGCATGTACAGCAGTAGCCAGGTCTATGAAAGTATAATGCTGTTAGAAAACTACAGAATGTTATAGCTATCATATAAAGTGTCAGGAAGGGAATGGTGGAAGAACAGGAGAAGAAAAGATCAGCACAGGAAAGCCTTGGACTTAAACTGTAGATGGGTTTCTTTGGAGTTTTTAAATTAGAGAGTTTTAAAACTTTCAGAAATCACTATGATTTTCTCAAGTGACTAACAGAAATGATGATGCTGTAGTAACTCTGGTAGTTTCCATAGACAATCCTTCTTCCATCCCCTAGGGACAGAAGAGTCTTCTTTGTCCTCCAATCAGAGTTTTTCTCTGTGAGTCAATGCACTGTACAAACCTTGGATCTAGAAGTTAAAATTTAGGAGCTATGTGGACAGAGAAGTTAGAAAAGGCAAGATTGCGAGAGATGATTTGTGCAGCCCAGGTGCTCAGTGGTCGGTCATCTCTGATTTCCACTCAGGTACCTCACCCCCAGCTTATTCTGGGTTGCAATAGTGAATATATTTCTTATTCAGATGGAGTTGTCTTGATGATTCTGAGCTGTATTTTTCATTGTTACTGTTATCATTATTGAAAGAAGAATTAAAGAATATCAAAGAGTAAGCCAAGTTTGTTGTATGCAGTTTAAGTGTCCAACGTGTTTATGAACCACTGATTAGTACATATAACTTTATTGCTTATATTACTTTCCTAATGGCTCTACTTCTCTCTGCCATCGGAGGGACAGAGGTTAGTAGGCAGCTTTCTGCAAGCCAGGAAGGCTTCATGAAGAGGCAAATTTCCAAACTGCTTGACTTTTGATTTCTCACCCTCTAAAACCATGAGAAATAAGGGACTTTGTTTCAGCCAACCAGTCTCCCATATATATATTTTTATAAAAATGCCTAAGGTAAGATAGTTACCTCAGAAAGATAGAAAAGATGATTAGGAAGATGGGAAGATATACAGAGAGTTTAAATATTGATATCAGCTGGAGTCCAAAATGAAGAAAAACAGGTAACAATAGGCAAACTTATTTATGATAAGAGAAACCAAGCCATCTGCTGCAAGGGGAGGCAGTCCAGGAAAGAGGTTAGACATAGAGCAGGTTTAGAGCCATTGCCTGGTAGAGTATTAGAAGAGCCATTCAGGAATAAAAAAGTGAAAAGATTAGGCAGTATTGGGATGGGAAGAAAGGTCATCCATGTAATCTTTCATGACCTCACCTTAATATTTGTGAAACTCCACTGAAAATATTAAATGTGGTGTAATTCATTCTAAGATTTCCTCATTGTCAGTATTCATTGGGGGGTGTGAATTTGGATTTGCTGAAATCTGACATACTTGTCATTTTGATTAATAAACATTTCTATGGTCTTCAAAGTCATTAAAACACTTCAAAAATTATGTAGAACTCAATCCCCCAATCTCAAGTATTACTCATTGATAAAATAGCTATTATTTATTTAATTTTCCTTCAGGTTCCAGAAATTTTTCAGAAATTAATTTAATTTTCCAGAAATTAAAATGCATAATGTGGGCATTATGCATTTTAATTCTTAGAATTTTGTAAGAGATAAATTGTTTCTAATTTATGTATAAAACAACTGAACATTCTGGGGTTTAATGTATCCTATCTGGTACACTGGTTCTGTTTTTCACATTAGTTATTTTTACATGAAACATATTAATATAAAATAGTAATTATTTTCATGGTATGAATTACTTTCCTTAGTTTATAAGTAAGGATACACAGGTAGACAAAGAATTCTAAGTGGCCCTGGGTCACATAACAGATAAGCTTAGAATTCAAGCTCAGATTGTCTTGATCTAAATTCGAGGTTTTATTCTGAACCAGGCAATAAAATATACAACCTAGATAAGACCTAAATTTGATTCTAAGTGTTGGCACCATGTTTATCAAAACTATTTTGGTAATTTAGTGCCCTTTCGTCAACCTAAAGTCTTTGTAATGATATTTTAAGAATTCAGGGTGAGAACTACTTTCAAGAACTGATCAAAAATGCTCCCTTTAAAATTATATTGGACTGGGGTTTTGTGCTTGCCTGGTAAGTAGCATGTGACTACAAATGACTTTATCTCTTTTAACGATGTATTCTTGGTAATAAGCTATCATGCATTGGAATATTAACAAAGAATGAGTCCATGCTCCTGTTTTTTTTTTGATTTCTAGTAACTAACATAGTGTTTATTTTTTGTTGAGACAAGTGTGTTTGATTCTCAGTAATATTTTCCTAGATAGAATTTTCAGATAACCAACCTAAAATATGCTGACCTCATTAATACTCTATATAGGAATTCTATAACTCAGGCATTTCCCTAAGCCCACCTTGAAGACTTAAAGTGGAGTGATAACAAAAAGCACCACTCTTCCTCCTGCTTATGCCTCTCCAGTTTCTCCCCTTCCAGCTTAAAAGTGGTTGGAAGGTGAGGCTGAAGTCATGCTGACTGCCCTTTTCATTTTGATTTCTTTGTCTTGCTTTGTACTTTCTTCTTGGTCCCTAATAACTACAGTCTTTCTCTGGAAGGAATGTCAGAAAGTATGCAAATCTACTGTGCCAACATGGGTAGCCTTTCCCTTCCTTCACATATTGTCTTCCTTCATCCTCTAAGGTTTTGGATGAAAGCTGAGGATGAACTGTGAAAGTGTCCTGCAGTTTCTGACACCACAGCAAGCCAAGCACCTCCACCACAGGTTTGATCTTTTCCTTTTCCCACAGTCAGAGATGTTAATCTTCTATCCCTCCCTCCCTGCCTACCATGCACACTTCCCTACACAGGAAGCAGTTGTTGTGGTTTTCCTTTGGAGATATTTCTCACTACAAATGTGTCCAGAGAATCCTAATGCAGATGACAGTAGTACCATTAATTCAGCCTTCGGAAGCATAAACTATTTATGGAGGGCTTGCTTCTCTTTTGTTCCCGTTCTTACCCAATTTACTTACATCTTCTTTCCCATTTCATTTCAGTCCCTGAAACCTTAATTTTTTAATCAGCAGATTGTTTATAAGGGAGAGAAACAAAGAGGGAAGGTTGCTATACAACTATGAAAGTGATACATAAATCCTCCTTTGGTATTCTATATAACTAGAATAAATTATATGTTAATATTTTTGCTGTTGATCACTACAAATAATATTTAATTTTTTAAACAAAATTTTGTTTTACAAGCAGATTTATACATTGTATCATTTAAATTAGACAGTCTTAAAATCTAATTTGAAATAATTTGTCCAGTTATAATTTATGCTAATTTAACTGCTAAAATTCTAAAAAGCTCAAGTTCATGCTCCTTTAACTCACTTGAAAGACATATAAAGGCTATGTTACTTTTCTTACCTCCAAGTTTTGCCCTGATGGAAACGTCTGATACTTTCCTGGAATTCCATTTCCTGCTCTGTTGTAGCTCTTCTGATAGTATTGTTTGCCTTTTTATTGTTGTTTGAAATCCTTTGTCTGGCCTAGGAACTCGATTTTGAGGTTTCACATCACTGAAACTCACCAGGTTTGGTATGGCTCTGCCAATGCCAGGCTTTAAATCAGCATCAGCACCAGCACTCAGGAATCCCGAGCAGGGATCACCTAAGGGCACATCATCACGAAGTGGAAACAATGGATATGCCTGTCCATATGGTGGGGGATAAGGGTAGTGCACATGACAGTCTGGCAGGACTGAAGGGGGATAAGGATGGAACTTTAAAAACGCAGGGTTGCATTTCTTTTCAAATCTGCCATAGTCATGTCTGTCTTCAAGTCCTTTCACAAAGGGCATGTTCATTTTCCGTAAGAGATCATGGTAATGTGGGTAATCTGGATACTCAATAGCCTTTGCTCCTGAGAAGATGAACCTTTTAGAGACACTAATCTTTCCGGGTTGGTTCTTAACCTCCATATCCATGGAATTTCTCATCATTTTTGAGGATTGTGAATTAAATTCTTTTGATAATTCTTTTCTCTTTAACTATTAAGAACCCATATTTCCAGTAATGGAAGATCTAGCATAAAATTATTAATTCAATTTTCTAAATGTTAGTAATTTTTTTATCTTAAGGTATTTTTTTTTCTGGTGAAGGAGTGATAGGAAAGTACAGAAAGAGGGCAGAATAAAAAAAAAAAACCAAAGAGCCTTTGTTGCTTGGCAACTGGTGGAACCATAACTCATGGAACTACTTATTATGTACATCATAATGCATTTTTTAGGACCCCGCCCCCCAAAAGTGCTAGTAATATTTCCATTACACTTCTTTCTCCAATACTCAGGAAACTAATATCATATACATATCCACATATATGTACATATATGTATTTTCTATGTTTATATTTTGTGGGTAAGATAGCCACTTAAAGAATATACTGAAATTTATCTAGTGAATACACACACATAGTCTCTCTCTGACACACAACTACAACTAAGTATTAGCTGATATGTGATAAATCATAAAAATTGGCATGTTTAATTTAAACATACTGCAACAATGAACATGCATTATACTCATTTTTAAGGACAGTAATTCACAAATTATAGCCAAAGTAAAGGTGCATTCCTTATGTGCCTAAAATTATCCTCAGTTTCCTTAAGGCTACCACAATGTGCAGAGTGAAAGCAATGAGGGTTTTTGTGTTATTTCAGTAAATGGCAACATGAAAAAAAAATCTGTTTCAAATGTTGTGTACCAGTCCACTTAAGATCTGTTTTAACTAGACAATTTGGTGTTGCATGAAAACTGTATCTAAACTGAAGTATTAGAATTTGGAAGATAGTAGCCCACACCTTCCTTAAATGAATCAAGCAAGCAAGCCACCAACCAACCAACCAACCAACCAACCAACCAACCAACCAACCAACCAACCAACCAACCAAAACAGACCAAGCTTCTACAATATCCAGGAACAGAATATATAAATAAGGTCAACTGTATGGCAGTATGTATAAGCAGAATGCGGCCACGCCCACCTTTGATGATGACTGAAATTTTGAGATATACCATTAAATGAGAGGTAAAGTTGAAATAAATGATTAAGTCTTACAACATGAGGTCCTGGATACAATATATCAAAAACATGAAAGTCAGTGAGTTTTTTGTCCACCCAGTACCACTCATTTCTTCATATTAAAGTGAAGCCAGATTGTTTTTAGTTGTTCAAAATATTTATATAAGATTTATTTCCATCATATCTCGACTATCATTAAATCCTTCCAAAGGCAGCAAAGTGGATGTATGATTCTCTTTCCATTTAAAATACGTTTTCATTATAAACGGCCGCTTAGCTGGCTTGGTATGTTTTCCTGAATCCAGGTTATGAAAGGTGATCTTCAGTTTCATCTATGGTCATTCCCTCTGTTTTGCCATTCATGCCATCTCTTTAGGCAACACCTTTAATCCCTCCTAGGTGTCCACTGCATCTATCTTCCGTGAAGTTCCACACATGGACAATGTACAAACGGTTGGCATGACTATCGTCGGAAACTTCACGAGGGCTGTACACGCACTGTCACTAGTTCTCAGACATGTGCAGCCATGAGTGGGCACCCAAAGGCTGAAATGTATGTAGTACACCGCCAGGGTGATAAGAAGGGCGTTCCCGCCGACCCCAGGCACCACAGGGAAGCAGTTAGAACTTGGGGGCACAAGATTCTTCTCCCAGCTTTGGAATCTCTGACAAGACACTGAGGTTCTGGAGGGCTCCCTGGGTGGGTGGTGCGGTGACCTCAAAGGCAAAGGAGCCCCCTCGGGGACCGACGCCCCTGCCTCCCATGGGCGCCCAAGCCAGCTCCCAAGCTAGCACACCTGCCGCAGGCGGCCCGAGCGGAAGTGGCGGCGTGTCCGTCGGTCCGTCCTTCCGGCCCGCCGTCCGCCAACTTCCGGCGGCGGGTGGGCGCGCGCCAGGTAACGACCTTCAGCGCCGAGGCTCGGCCGGCGGCGGTGGCGTGTGGATG